CAGCTTTATTTTATCTATCTACCTATCTATTTATTTTTGCTTACTTATTTTTTTCATAATACTTTGGTTATCCTTTCCTCACTCTCCATATATTTCACTTAAATACTATGTTTTCTCATTTTGTGTGTTAGGAGGTTTCTGTGTGTACCAATGTGTGTGTCTCTACACCTATATATTCTTTGTCCAATTTTTCTTTGGATTTTTATTTTTCTGTTTTTTGTTTTTTTCTTATACAGGTGTGTTTTCTTGTTTTATCTTATTACTTTTCTATCCTTTTAAGATATCTGATTTTTTTCTAATGAGAGAGTGATAAAGGACACAGATTTGGATAGGGAATTTGGAGGGGTCTACGAAGAGTTGGTTGAGAGGGAACCACAATCAGAATATAATACATATATATATAATAAAAACCAAATAGTTAAGATTTTCAGTTTTTAGGCTGTGTGTGTGTGTGTGCGTACTTTCACACTAAGCAATTGCAAGTTCACTATGGTGGCATGTATCAATAATCTGAGCATTAGAATATTTAGGACAGGATTTTGACATAAAGAGATCCTGGGCAATTAAAACAAACAAACAACTACAGGGTGAAAATAATAGATGAAAGAGAAACCAACAGGCAAAGGTGAAATAATGGTTGGAGAAATTGCAAACAATATTTGTATATATTCATAGTGAGATTTACCATGCATGCTGAAGCAGTTGAGAAAATATAATCATAGAACATGTTGCAACACCCTCTTTACTATATTGTTGCTCTAAACATGGAACAAATGCCCAGCATGGGTGTATCTATTTTCTTTTCCATTATAGAATCTGAGTGTCTTCTGGATTTCCATACCTGGCATGGTACAGGGAATAATCCAAGCCTTGACACATGGACATTCTTAGTGGGCTTTCTCTGCTGCTGTTTTCCAAGGTGAGATAAATTCTATTAGAAATGTATATAGTTAAAATATTAGTGCCTTTTTCTATCTATGGATTTGTGTGTTGCTCAATTTAATAGCTTTCTAACCAAAGTTTTAACTTTATTATATTGTAACAAATACTGTCAGTATAAAACAAAATATAGACATATTTCTATGTATTAGAAGATTAGGACTTTCAACCACCATTCTAACTTATAAACAGAATGGTATCATCATCCACAAATCTTCTCTATGCATCTCTGTAAACATGGCTGAATTCATTCTTTTTTATCTACATGCTGATTATATTTAAAAAATCCTGTGTAATTTTTTGGAGCCTCTTCATTCAAGCAAAGTCTGATTGTTATTTGTTTTTAGGTTACAAATACAGAGAAAATGTGGAAAAGACACTAGTTTTGAAGTAGCGTCTGTGATGAGTATGATTGCTGTAGGCCACTTCACCATAAGTCCTTTGGAGTAAATATGTACACCAAATGAAAGAGAGAAGCATCCATCTCAGCTTAAGTGAAATATGGTACTCAAGCATGCATTACTTGTTCTAGGATGGGTTAAGAATTCCCCAAAATAATGATGACATGTGTTACCTTATATTTCCAGCTACTATGTCTGCCAGTGCAAATTATGGATATTTCACTCATCACACTTGAACAACAGTGCTATGAAATATGAACTACTTAGTAGGTTTCCTGAACATTTTTTAGTTTTTTTGTTCTTACTGTGCACATCACCACTTCTATTCATTAAACATGTATCATTGCACTTATTTTTTGTAAAATTGGTTGAAACTTTCATATAATGTGTTTTGACATGTTCACTCTCTTTCCCATGTCCTCCAAGCTCCATTCCCTTTCATTACCCCCTCAATTTCTCCCTCTTTCTTCGTATGTTTAAGTCTATCACATCCAGTTGTTGCCCATACATTTCTTAGGTGTGTGACCTTCCATTGGACCATGATAAACCTTTCAGGGGCCACTCCCTTAAGGAAAACTGATTATCCCTCAGCTATTAGGGTCTAACAGCTTGTTGGGAAGTAGTGAGACTTCACATCCATTTCCTTTACCAATGTTGGGATTGTGTCTGGCTTGTATTTACCCAGTTCTTGAGTATGCTGTCACAACTAGCTGTAACTAACTTGTGTGACTGTCATTTTTTTGTCCAGAAAACAGTCTTTCTGTATAGTCAGCTATCATCTCTGGTTCTTAAAATCTTTTTTCTTCTTTTAGAATGAACCCTGAACCTTGGGACGAAGGGTCTGTTATAACTGTTCCAATAGGGTTGAGCATTCCATGGTCTTTTATTCTCTACACCTTAACCATATGTGGATTTCTGCGTTAATCACCATTCTTTTATTTTGTTTCATAATTATTGATTTTGAGTGAAAAGTCAATGTCTAAATCATAGCACTTTTGGTTACAGTTTGGAGCAAATTGAGGATATTTCTAAGCATCAACATCAACAACTACGAAGCTAGGTGAGACTCTCTCCCCTTTGGTTCTGAAATTTTCCTAGTTACCACAAAAACTGAGAGATAAATTCCTGAAAAGGAAGCAGTGCATAGCATTCCTTCTGGGGCAATATGTTAGTGATATAGGTCAATGATGTTTGTCAATGGGTAACTTAATTATATCTGAGAAGGACTTTAAATCATGAAGATTATTGTATTAGGTTCCTCACTGAGGAAAAGAGTAGACCTGCCCTCAGGATTTAACTCTTTGCAGAGTGGATTTTCAGTATATAAAGATACAAATTTAACATCAGAGCCCATCTGATGACCTATCTATCCCCTTAAAATTACTGCCTTTAATAATGAAATGTCCCAAAGCTAGAGCCAAAAACCAACTGTCAAAATCATAAAGAAATTCTATATTAGTCCTCAACCTATTCATTAGTCTAACACAATAAATCTTAAGACTGAATTAATGTTAAAACCATTTGGAATTAACCAGTGTGGGATATAACTTTACTATGATACATAATGAAAATGGTTTTACCAAAAGTTACTGGATGTAAAAGAAAAAATGAAAAGAACCTACTCTAAAGTTCAACTCTTTTAAATAAATAAATTCTAGGAAAAATTAAGTGTGTTGATATGGGAATAACATAAGGGATATCTGGTAACACTTGAAATCAAATTCCAGAATTAAGCCATGCCAAACACTCCAAACCAAGCAATTGCAAGCACAAACCACTTATGTAAAATTTCTCAATCCCTAAACATGGATAGTAAACTTGGGGGAAATGGCATATTTTATTGCATTTGTGTTACACACACACACACACACACACACACACACACACACACACACTCAAACTGAGCCATGGTATCAAATTGGGAATTCCACTTTTGTCATCCTTTGCCTATTTTCTCTTAAGAAAAATCACAGCATTCTTTCAAGAGAACTGTCATTAAGTTTTATATTTATGAATCATATCTTCCAAAAATCTTACTACTCTTTCAAGTAAAGTGAAACTTTACCTTAGAATTCATTAGGAATAATTCAGGAAAACAAAACTGATGGAGTGATTCAGTTTCACACAAAGCCTTTTGACTGCTGGAATTAGCCATTCTTTGATGTTAAGTAACATAACCCAATATCATCTCCAGAGAAATTCTAAAGTCTACAAAAGAGAAAGTAGAGGTTCCATTTCCTCCACTGTTTTATTTCTGATTTATTTCTTCCCACCTCAAGTTTCAGGAATCGTTACTGCGGTGTGTCCTGAGGTTGAATCCTTTCTTCTTCATTCCTCATAATGTGCCGATAATGTTTTTACTCAATCTTGAAACTCTGTTAAGCCATTTTCATCATGAGTAAAAAGCATGGCCAATGTTTTATGAGTAAAGGAGAGAAATCACAGTAACTAAAGATTCACAAAGTAATATAAAATCGGGTCAAAGTAGTTTCAATTTCCACTGGTGAAACTCTACATTGGGATCTGGCATGTTTGCACTGTGTCTCTTGCATCTGCATACAATGTGCTCTTTCTCTTTTGTGGCTCCATTATTACAATAAAAACAAGCTGAAAACTTTTCAAATGTTTTCTACAAAAGAACTGTCTAGCTTGAGTCAGTCATCTCAGAACTACACTTTGCCACATCTATCGTTTTCCCCAAGAAAAGGGACCTCCAACTAAATATCTTTCTTTGACAAAAAGTGATGCATCTCTTTTCCCTCTGTCAATGAATAATGTGAAATTTTTTATTACTGGAAATATATCACTGTCTCATATAATACATCCCAACCACAGCCTTCCCTCCCTCCACTCCTCCCAGCTCCCCTTGCCTTGATGTAATTCTTATAAGGATTTATCTAACAAAAAGAAACAAAGTACAGTCAAATAAGAAGGTGGAAACTGTTACTGTCATTTTGGTGATCTTAAACTTATAAAACAAAGAAGTTAAATTAGTAAGTAGAAATATTGCCTTACTGTTTCTTTTAATAGATTTGCAGGAAAAAGCAGACAAAAAGTATAGTGAACAATATAATAGGTTTGGATTTTCATGACTTATGGTTGTTCTTCATTTTTCCATAAATAGCTCTTTGAGAAAATGCAAGCTGTCAATCTCTTTAAGTTTCAGAACCCTGTTTATAAAGTAGACATATATTCACATTCTAATAGGCATTGTTTTATCTCCGTAAAACAATTATAACATGTCTGAAAGACTATTTACTGCCAGAATTTACAGTTCCAATGTATGCTGTAATTACCTATGAATGAGGAGTTATCTGTGTCAATTCAGTTCTGGTATTTGAAAGCAACATATTCTTTCCTCATGAAGAAAAGATAGAGAATGGTACAGACAGAATATCTGATCTGGAATTCATTTCAAGTGAAAATAAAACCCATCTTCAGTAAAATGGTGGCAATCTACTGTTAGTATAATCAATATCAGATCTACTCATATTTTCTAAGAAACTGTTTATAATAATGGTAATAAACAAAATGTTCACTTACCACTATTCATAAACAGGCAAAAGGCTAAAAGGAACAATAATTATTGAAATATCTTATGAATCTTATATAAAAGATGTGACTAAAATGTACAAAATAGTGAAAATATCTATGTTGTAACTATATAAAAATTTTCTTCTTGTTTAGGATCTTTCTTAGGGAAATTTTAACATCTTTGTTTCTCAAACTATATATTAATGGGTTCAACATTGGAATCACATTGGTATAAAAAATGGAAGAGATTTTTCCTTGATCAATTGATAAAACAGAAGACGGTTTCAGGTACATAAACCCACATGACCCAAAGAACAGAGACACAGCAATTATGTGGGAACTGCAGGTGCTAAAGGCCTTGGATCTGGCCACAGTGGACCTTATTTGGAGGATGCTGGAAAGGATGAAGCCATAAGAGACAAAAATCATGACACTGGGAAAAATTATGTCTTTGCTCCCTACAATGAAAATTTCTGTTTCATTGACATAGGTGCTTGTACAGGAGAGCTGCAACAAAGGGAGGACATCACAGAAATAGTGGTTGATGGTGTTGCCATCGCAGAAGGTCAGTCTGAGCATACAACCTGTGTGGATCATAGCATCACAAAATCCCATCAAATATGAACCAAGCATAAGATAAGAACACACCCTTGGGGACATGGCGGTGTTATACAAGAGTGGATTACAGATAGCTGTATATCGATCATAGGCCATTGATACCAGAACATAACATTCAGAAATTATAAAAAAACAAAAGAAGTAGAGTTGGGACATACAGCCCATATAAGAGATAAGATTTTTCTCTACTATAAAATTCATCATCATTTTGGGTGTAATCACAGAAGAATAACAGAGATCTACAAAGGACAAATTAAAGAGGAAAAAATACATGGGTGTGTGTAGATGAGCATTTAACACAATTAAAATTATCAAAGTCAAATTTCCCAGTACTGTGATCATATACATTAATAGAAACAATATGAAAAGAGGCATTTGGAGACTTGGCTGGTCTGTTAATCCCAAGAGAATAAATTCAGTCACAATAGAGCCATTTTCCAGAACCATTCTTCTCTAAGAGCATTTGTGGACAGAACACAATATATAAAAATTGGAGGACAACATAGATCTTCCAGTAGTAGCTTCTCCCAAAAATATGAGGTATAAGCTGACAATGTCTGAAAATGCTCAGCCTGGAATTAAAGAATCCTTGACAAGTATGATGTTGCATGCCTGTTATTCCAGCACTTGGGAGGGAGTCAGAAGAAATTCAGGCCTTCAAAGTTATCCTAGTATATATAGTAAATTCAAGCCCAGCATAGGCTACAAGAGACCCTGTGTCAAATAAAAAAATTAATTGAGAAAGCTTTCATGCAACCTTTTAATATATAATAACTTACACCCCATATTGGAGTCTTAAATTTAAAAACAACAGATTATCACTAATTTCACCATCAAAGATGATCTCATTGCTGCCATTTGTCATATTCTAATGTAACTGTTAGAAAATTCAGAGGAAAAGGATGAAGTATTATTGAACACAATAGGGTTGCCCTAATCTATTTGTTATAGGTTTCTGACTTGAAAGTACAATAGCAATTTCTATCTTATTAAGAGAAACTGTGATTACCTGTGATCCTCAAGTTTCTGCCTGGACGTTCCCTCACAGAAGAGGGTAGAAAGGATCAGAGATCACATGAAAATCCCGCTATTCACTCAGTGCTAAATTCTCAGCTGTATGTAATTTTCCTCAGTTTTACATGGTGTTTTGGGGTGCTGACTATGTAGAGTGCGGAAGGTTAGCAAATGGGCCACTCTACTTGTGCAGCTATGGGAAAGTCACCATCCATCACGGGATAAGACTTTTCTCTAGGTAGACTTGTTGGGGTTATCTATACCCCTATTAGTCACACCTCATCCATGCTGCAGTAAGTCCAATATACTCATGGTTTCTTCAAATAGACTTTGTTAGAATCTTTCCTTTTGTACAGTTTTCTAACCCTATCTGAGCTAAGTAACCATTTGTTAACATGCCCCTTGGAAAAGTTCATACAACACCCACCTACCATGTCTTCAGGACTTTGCTTCTTCCCTGGCACTGCTATAAATTATATAAACCTGATGATGAGGCACCAGATTGGACTCAGTAGATTTGGAAGCCTAACCACTGAATTTAGGAAAGGTCAAGGTACCGTTCAACACAGAGAAATTCATAAATGAGGAGTAATGTGAGAAATGCCCATGGAGTTGAAAATTACTGCTAAAACCCCTGCCAGCACTCTGTTCAGCATCTGAATTTCCTCTGTTCACCTTTAAGATGCTTCCAGGAAAGTCACTGAATTCTAGGGCTGCAAAATGGGAAGAAAACTATGTATCCTGAAGCAACATATATCATATCAGTGTGGAACTATTATGCAAATATAAAAGGCAAGTCACTGACAGGGAAACACATGGTATATTATGCATTGCAGTCTTAAGCAGTTAAGTTCACATAAGCAAAGAGTAGTATGTTGGTTGTTGGTGTCAGGAAGAAAATCAGTTGATGCAAACTCAAGTTTAAAATTTTCAGTTATGAAACAAAATTGGTTTCTGAAGTTTAACATGTTTACTATGGTTAACATGTGATATTATATTCTTGGGATTTACTAACAGAACATATCTTCATGTATTTTCTCACTGAATATGTGCATCCATAATACATAAAAAGCATTTTAAATTTTTTTCTTTTTTTCTTATTTATTTTCATAAAAAGCATTTTATAAATATGGAAATATATTTGATTTAGCTTTATTGATGAGTCATTTCACAATTAATATTTAAGTTAAAATTTAATGTTCAAAATTATAAATGTTAGTGGTATACCAATAAAGTTGTTAAACATAAAGTATAGTAATTAGTATAAATCACTAATTGAAATGATTAATTGAAAACTTACCCTTTTATGAGAGAAACGTTTGATGTTTCCTTATAACTGAAATTCACTCTATCATTCAGAAGTGTGATATTGGACTAGGAGACCTAAATTCCTTTAATTTTAAAAGGATACAGAATAAAAATAATCTCTCCTATACAAATATATCTTTTTGAGCTATTAGTCATAATGTTTAAAGTAATTATTTATTTTCTGAAAAATCATAGGAAATATAGATAGCCTTTCTAATGATCACAACCTACAGTTTATGAGACCCCCCAAAAAAGGAGGTCACAGGAGTTTAAAGCCTAATGTACTTTTTAATATGAGATAGGCAGATGCCAGGTTTTCGTCTGTCAAGAGAAGAGATGCTAGATACAGACAAAAATGAGGCAATTGTATATATATACTGGGCAATTGCATTTCTTTACTTCCCTGGAGACTCACTGTTTTAATCTGGTCTGGCCTTCTCTTCAGGGATTGTCCAATCTTGAGCAACAGTGAACTTCATCCTCCCATTATAGTTTATCGATTAAGGGAAACTGGTAATTTTCCACAGAGTCATCTCCATATTTCCATACTGCCTCATCAATGTTTTCTTTTCCGCATTATGGTAACATGCTTCAGGTATACACTCACAGATGTTTCTAAAAATCACTTTTAAGTTAGTTTTTGTTGCTGTCGGCTGTGTGTTTGCAGAGTTCTGGCTCAAACTCCATTCCTTGAATATGCTTCTTCTATGACTGGGTTGCATGCCTAGCCCTCCAAGATATGATCACATTCTTTTTTTTAAATTTTAAATAGCTTGTTTTACATATCAATCCCAGTTTCCTCTTCCTCCCCTCCTCCTGCACCTCCCCATCTCCCCCATTCTCCCACCATATTGCCAATTCCTTCCACATAGGGGATATCTAGAGTCTATCATTTCATTTAAGGTAGGGTCCAGGCACTTCCCTAAGAGTCCAGGCAGAGAGCAACTCTCTTTGTGTTATGGACACACGATGTCTGTTAGTATTTGAGGGATAAACACTGATCCACTGCTCAGGACCCCATAGGTTGCCCAGGCCTTCTCGCTGACATTCACATTTGGGGGGTCCAGATCAGTCCCATGCTGGCCTCCCCACTGTCGGTCTGGGGTCCAAGAGCTCTCCCCTGTTCAGATCAGCTATCTCTGCTGGTTTTGCCAGCCCATTCTTTGCCAATTTGCTCATCACTCCTCTCTCTCTGTCACTGGGTTCCTTGGGTTCAGTTCAGTGCTTAATTGTGTGTTTGCCTCTGCTTCCATCAGTCACAGGATGAAGGCTCCCAGATGGTTATAGACATCAAGTTCATTATCAGGAATGGGCATTCGAGGTGGTCTCTCCACTATTGCTTAGCTTGCCAATTGGTGTTATCCCTTTAGATCACTCGAGGTCACTCTGGTGCCTGATCTGTCTTCTATCTTATGATTCCCTCTTCCCCCTATTCTACTACCACCCCCTCAACTTCCTGTTCCCCCATGACCAACTCTCTTCCTCTTCACCCCCTCTCTTCTTCCCAGGTCCCACTCCCCCCACCCTCGCCATATCCCCCATCCATTCAGAGGATCTTGTCTCAATCCTCTTCTCTTGGGTACTATGCATATATGCATATCTTTTAGGTTCTTTCCTGTTTCCCAGACTCTCTATCAGTGGAAGTGCAGACTGGCACTATCCTGATCCATGTCTAAAATCCATATATGAGTGAGTACATACCATGTTTGTCTTTTTGTGACTGGGTTACCTCACTCAGGATGGTTTCTTCCAGTGCTATCCATTTACCTGCGAATTTCAAGATTCCACTGTTTTTTTCTGCTGAGTAATACTCCATTGTGTAAATGTACCACATTTTCTCTATTTACTCTTCAGTTGAGGGGCATCTAGGTTGCTTCCAGGTTCTGGCTATTACAAATAATGCTGCTATGAACATAGTGGAGCAGATGCCCTTGTTGTATGAACTTGCCTCATTTGGATATATGCCTAAGAGTGGAATTGCTGGGTCTAGCGGTAGATTAATTCGCATTTTCCTGAGGAATCTCCATACTGATTTCCAAAGAGGCTGTATGAGTCGGCACTCCCACCAGCAGTGGAGGAGTGTTCCTCTCTCTCCACATTCTCTCCAGCATAAATTGTCTTTGGTGTTTTTGATTTTAGCCATTCTGACAGGAGTAAGATGGTATCTCAGAGTTGTTTTGATTTGCATTTCCCTGATGGCTAAGGATGTTGAGCACTTTCTTAAGTGTCTCTTGGCCAATTTAGCTTCCTCTACTGAGAATTCTCTATTTAGCTCTGTACCCCACCTTTCAATTGGATCCTTTGGTGTTTTGGAGACTTGTTTCTTGAGTTCTTTGTAAATTTTGGAGATTAGCCCTCTGTCAGATGTAGGGTTAGTGAATATCTTTTCCCATTCTGTGGCCTGCCTTTTTGTCTTTTTGACTGTGTCCTTTGCCTTACAAAAGCTTTTTAGTTTCAGAAGGTCCCATTTGTTAATTTTCGATCTTAGTTCCTGTGCCACTGGTGTTTTGTTTAGGAAGTGGTCTCCTGTACTAACTCGTTGAAGAGTATCTACCACTTTCTCTTCTAAAAGTTTCAGTGTGGCTGGATTTATGTTGAGATCTTTGATCCATTTGGACTTAAGTTTTGTACAAGGTGATAAACATGGATCTATCTGCAGTCTTCTGCATACCAGTACCCAGTTATGCCAGCACCATTTGTTGAAGATGCTTTCTTTTTCCCATTGTACAGTTTTAGCATCTTTGTCAAAAATCAAGTGTTCATAGGTGTGTGGGTTAAAATTAGGGCTTTCAATTCGGTTCCATTGGTCTACCTGCCTATTTTTGTGCCAATACCAAGCTGTTTTCAGGACTATAGCTCTATACTAGAGCTTGAAGTCAGGTATGGTGATGCCTCCTGAAGTTCTTTTATTGTATAGGGATGTTTTGGCTATCCTGGGCCTTTTGTTTTTCCATATAAAGTTGATTAATGTTCTTTCCAGGTCCTTGAAGAATTGTGATGGAATTTTGATAGGGATTGTATTGAATCTGTAGACTGCTTTTGGCAAGATTGCCATTTTTATTATGTTGATCCTACCAATCCAAGAGCATGGACGATCTTTCCATTTTCTGGTATCTTCTTTGATT